ACCTGCAGGTTAAAAGTATCACCAAGGACTTTTTGAAGAGCAATGAATCTATATTCTGTGTTGAAAATACTTGGTTCTCTCCAGTGCTGGTGTGTATAATACTGTGTGTGTGTGTGTGTGTGTGTGTGTGTGTGTGTGTGTGTGTGTGTGTGTGTGTGTGTGTGCCCATACTGGAATTTGAACTCAAGGCCTCATGCTCTTGGCTTTATTGCTCCTTTTGATCCACACCTCCCCTTCTGTCTTTTTTACCAGTTAATTAGTGGTAAGAATCTCACCAATAGCCGGGCACTGGTGGCTTACGCCGGTAATCCTAGCTACTCAGGAGGCTGAGATCTGAGGATCGCGGTTCAAAGCCAGCCCGGGCACGAAAGACTGTGAGACACCTATCTCCAATAAACCACCAGAAAACCGGAAGTAGCGCTGTAGCTCAAGTGGTAGAGCGCTCGCCTTGAGCTGAAGAGCTGAGGGACAGCGCCCAGGCCCAGAGTTCAAGCCCCACGACCGACAAAAAAAAGAAAAAAAAAAAAAAAAGAAAGAAATGTACGCATTATCCTGCCCATGTAATTGTAACCCCTGTACAGTATGTTAACAAATAAAATTAAATTAAATTAAAAATAAATAAAAAACTCAAAGACAGTTCCCAGGCCTTGACTGCAAGCCCAGCAACAGCATACACATACACACACACACACACAAAATCACACACACAAAAAAGTCCCTTACAAAAGCATTGGTCGGGTGAGAAAAGCACTTCTGCAAGCCCAAAGCAGGCAGCTCAGCTTGAAGCACTTAAGTCAATTAAAGCACTGAATCTAGTTACATATGAGGTTATTTGGCATTTTAGAAACTTCTTGGGGGGAAAAAAATGTCACATTTTATTTTTGTACCCGTATTGAGGCTTGAACTCTGGGATTCACATCTCACTTGGTTGTTTTTTTTTTTTTTCAATCTACAATGAGCACTTCAGCCACAGTTCTACTTTTAGTTTTCCGCTGGTTAAGTTAAACAACTCTCAGAGTTGTCTGCCCAGGCTGGTGTCAAACCGGGATCCTCAGATCTCAGCCTCCCAAGTACTTACTATTACAGCTACTGGTGAGCCACCAGTGCCTAGCAGAACCACCGGGCTTTAAGCATGATTAAGCCACCAAGCTAAGATGCTCATCCTGTAAGACCACACAGCAACAGTCACGTGACCACAGACCAGCAGCTGCTTGCCCAATGCCACACAGGAGAGAAAGAGTGAGACCCTTCCCCCACCCCATCAACCCTTCACTATGCTCTCCCCACTCCGTTTTGGTCTGACAAGACCAGCTGAAATCGCCAGGTAAAATCCATCAGCCCTGTACATCTGTATCACTGCCAAAGCTAAACAATGAGCTGACTTGGAAATGGGCTGGGAATGGGGGGGGGGGGGGCGGGATAAAGGAGCTCTAGTCCTTGGTGCCTAACAAGCTAACCACCTGGGGACTATTCAGCTGGCCCAACCACACAAGAAACACACCGCCAGGAAGACACACACCTGATGTCCAGGTGGCAGATGACCGTCCTCCTCCTCCAGCCTTCCCCAACAGAGAAGCTGCTCAAGAGATCAAAACTCTCGGCTGTTCTGTGGATCAGGTACCGCAAGCGACTGGACAATGGCGGGAAAAGAAGAACCCTGGGAAGGGACCAGAAACAGGGCTTAGTAGAGACTGCTCATCCAACTCCTGGGGCCTCCCATCCCCAGGAAAATGGCAGCTTAACTCCTTCTGCCCCAATGGGTCCCGGCCTAAACACACCAAGTTAATCTCAGGGAGCTCTAGGTCCGCACCCCCAGCCCTGAGCGCCCGCCCCTTCCCATCCTGGGGTGACAGAATGACAGAAAGACATGGCTAGAGGAGGGCTGGCAGGCGTTAAGGCTAGAGCCGGGGGCATCTGCCAGCCAGTTACCTGGGGGCAGCAGACCGCTGCCCTCCTCGGACTCCAATTCACATACTTAGACAGCTGCCTCTGCAGCAGGAAGCGGTCCAGCTCCTCCTGGACCCGGTGGACAAAGTCATTCTCGGCCGAGGAGAGGAAGACACCGTCCAAGCAGAGAAGGGCCAGCGTGACAGGTGGGAGAGCCTGCAGCAGAGGGGCAGGGGCCGGGATCAGAGCCCTGCGCTCGCCGCCGCCCCCCTCCCGGCCCCGACGTCGGGCCCCGGGGTCTCCCTGCACATCCGGGTTCAGGACGCCGCCCCCCCCTCCCGCCGCATCCCAGGACAAGGCGGGGTCTCCCCGCCAGGCCGCGGCTTCAGGCCCGGCCCCGCCTGCGCGGCGCCCGCCGCCCCGGAGCTCACCCCAGGCCTGCTCCGAAACACCCCATCACCCTCCCGACCTGGGATCCAGGGCACCCAAGCCGGGCCCCCCAACCCCCCCAACACACACACACAGCTCTCCCGGCCGCCGCCCTCACCGCGGCCGCGCTACGCGTCGCCACCGCCGTCAGGGTCCTCAGGGGGCCTGCGCGACCCCCTCGCCGGCGGAAACGCAGGTCTCCGCGGGGCCGCGGCGCCACCGCGCGGCTCGGAGGAGGAACTGCACCCGCAGTGGAGGGGGCGTGTCCCTGACACACACAAACATTACTGGCTTCTCCCACGGCGTCCCCACTGGCATTGAATTGGGGGGGGGGGATCGAGAGCCAGAAAGGTGGAATGATGGATCCCAAACTTGTTCCTACAGTAAGTTCTAGATGTGTGCTTTGAGCAAATGTGATCTAGTATCAATTAAGCTCACGCACTTTCGAGCACCTGCTAGGTGCTAGGTAGTGGCAGCCCTATAATGTGTTTATTTTAGGTTCCCCTCCCCAGATACTCACCGAGGGATAAGGAGGAAGAAAGTTCTCAGCAATGGGCAATCCAGCACCCTGTGCCCCTCTCTGGACAGACAGAGATGTAAAGAACGGTAGTACGCTCCAGGGCAAGGCACTGGCAAAGTGCGCTCACCCTGTGGGCAGCTGGGCTGAGCAGCCATTACCCCGGTTATTTGTTGTCCCGCCCCCTTTGAAATAACCGGTAGGGCCCGGATAATCAGCGTGGCCCTGTGGCCTGACCTGCTGGAGGGGGCGGGGCGTCAGGAGGCCAGCCTCACCACGCCACAGACCAGGCCACCCGAGGGGGCGTGGCATCGGGAGGGGCGGGGCGTGCCGCCGAAATGGGGAGGAGGCTGTGTGCTGTGCGTTCCCAGTCTGGGGGAGTCTAGGAAAGGAGAGGAGGGAAGGAGAGTCCTAAGAGGAGGGTGGAGGGGAGACAGCAGGAGTGGAGGGAGAAGCAGGAGGGAAAAGCCTGCTGGAGGAGAGCAAGGCAGGCCTGAGGAGGGCAGGGCAGGCCTCAAGAGGCCATTCGGGGCCTCCCTCTAGAGAGGCCTGTGGAGAGGCGCCTCCCGGAGCAGAGCAGGGCAGGCCTGTGGAGAGTGGAGAGGCCTGCAGAAAAGGAGAAGGAAAGAAAAGGAAAAGCCTTCCCCTTTGGAGCTTTGGAGGTCTGAGGTTTGGAGGTTTGCAGACCGACTAATAAGGGGGGGTCAGAGCTGCCCATTGGAGGCTTGGTGGTCGAGGCTGCTCTTGGTTCTGGGTATCTAGCCCAGGACAAGGTAGTCACTGGACCCCTTTCTGGTGTAAATAAATTTTTTGTTATCTTTAACTGTGCCTCGATGGATTGTCTCCCTTTTTGGAGGTCATAAGTCTTTCAGAAATCATTCCAGTATCCTTCCTAATTGAAACTTGAAACTTGTTACCAGCCTGTGGGCTGGCTGCTGTAATCTAGAAGGCTATAAAGTTGGAATCCTGCTACCTGAAAAGTGTTTTTAGAAAAAGACTAAACTAAAAATCAAAAAACCTGTGTTGTAAGATGGGCACCAATGGTGCAAGTCTGTAATCCTAGCTGCTCAGGAGGCAGAGATCTAAAGATCATGGTTCAAAGCCATCCCAGACAGGAAAGTCTGTGAGACTCTTACAATTAAACACCAAAAAAAAAAGCTGGAAGTGAATTATGGCTCAAGTGGTAGAGTACCAGGATTGAGCACAAAAGCTCACAGACAGTGTCTGGCCTCTGAATTCAAGACCCAGTACTGAAAAAAAATTTTTTTTCAAATAAAAAAGTGTTTGTGGCTCAGGGTAAGGCTATCATGATCCTCTCCTTATCTAACTAACAGCAGGGATGAAGGACTGACTGTCCAGTACATAGGGAACTAAGCAGACCCAAGGCCTCCCTCCTACAAGTCATCTTCCCACACCAAAGCCAAGGCTGCTGGGTTCTACATCTTCTGGATGTAGAACTGTAACTTGTTTGCTCAAGTTTTTGGGGTTTTTTTTGTTTTTGTTTTTTGAGATAGCAGCGCATACTATTCTCTTTTTGCCTGGCAAAGTTAATAGTAATTCACTCCCCTTTCTCCAAAACCTCTTTTTGTGATTTTTGACATTGTGATAGAATTTCCAGTACCCAAAACACTATACTATGTTCAATGAGGAAACACTAAATATAAGTACATGTTAAGCTGGGGATAGCACAGGGGTCTGCTAATGTCTTTTATTTTATTTTATTTTTTTGGCTGGTCATGGGCTTGAACTCTGGGCTTAGGCGCTGTCCCTGTGCTCTTCAGCTCAAGGCAAGCACTCTACCGCTTGAGCCACAGCGCCACTGGGTCTGCTAATGTCTGTCATTACAAAAGCCAATTGGCAAAAGGGAATAAAAGTGGGAAGTTCAGAAATTTGATGAGCTCAAATTATCACTGATTCTATAAATATTCCTTTTTATTTTTGTTTTTTAACCTAGAAAATCAAGAAAGTTTTTTTTTTTTTGGTCCAGTCGTGGGCCTGAACTCTGGGCCTGGGTGCTGTCCCTCAGCTCTTCAGCTCAAGGCTAGCGCTCTACCACTTGAGCTACAGCGCCACTTCCGGCTTTTTTCTTTTTGCTTATGTGGTGCTGAGGAATTGAACCCAGGGCCTCAAGCATGCAAGGCAAGCGCTCTACCACTGAGCCACCTTCCCAGCCCCACAAGAAAGTTTTTTTTGTTTTGTCAGTCGTGAGGCTTGAACTCTGGGCTTGGGCACTGTCCCTCAGCTCTTCAGCCCAAGGCTAGCACTCTACCGCTTGAGCCACAGCGCCACTTCCAGTTTTCTAGTGGTTTATTGGAGATAAGAGTCTCACAGACTTTCCTGCCCCGGCTGGCTTTGAACCGTGATCCTCAGATCTCAGCCTCCTGAGTAGCTAGGATGACAGGCGTGAGCCACGGGTGCCCGGCTCAAGAAACTCAACAAGATCTATTTCCCAGGGGCATAAGGAGAGATGGGGCAGAAGGCAGAGGGTAAGACTGAGGAAGAGCAGGACTAGAAAGGTATGGGAAAGAGAATGCTGGGAAAGGTCGAGGGCCTGAATGAGAAGGGAAAGAGAAACCCACCCTTTCTTGCTCTACTTGATTCACTAACAAGTGTGCTTTTATTCCCCCAAATCCCGGAACACCACAGTCTTAGCCTTGCCTGAGTTCTAGACCTTGTTGTTGTTGTTGTTGTCGTGGGTCTTGAACTCTTGGCCTGGGCACAGTCCCTCAGCTCTTCAGCTCAAAGCGAACACTCTACCACTTAAGCCACAGAGCCACTTCTGGTTTTCTGGTGGTTAATTGGAGGTAAAAGTCTCACTTTCTTTCCTGCTGGGGTTGGCTTTGAACCAAGATCCTCAGATCTCAGCCTCCTGAGTAGCTAGGATTACAGGTGTGAGCCACCAGCACCTGGCTCCCCGAGTTTTTTTTTTGGGGGGGGAGGGTCCGGTTGAGGGGCCTGAACTCTGGGCCTGGGTGCTGTCCCTCAGCTCTTCAGCTCAAGGCTAGCACTCTACCTTGAGCCACAGCGCCATTTCTGGTTTTTTTTCTTTTTGCTTATGTGGTGCTCAGGAATCGAACCCAGGACTGCATGCATGCATGGCAAGCGCTCTACCACTGAGCCACCTTCCCAGCCCCTCCCTGAGCTCTTTTGCTCCAGGCTAATTACTAGCACTTGGCTCAGCTAGTTGTTTTTTTTTTTTAAAAAAACAAAAACAGAAAGATAAGAGAGCTGAGTGTTGTAATTACACTCACCTGCAACCTCAACACTCAGGAGGCTAAGGCAGGAGGAGTTCAAGCCTGAGTTCAAGCCCCCCATTTCAGAGAGACAGGCAGGGCTGGGAAGGTGGCTCAGTGGTAGAGCGCTTGCCTTGCATGCCTGAGGCCCTGGGTTCGATTCCTCAGCACCACATAAGCAAAAAG